GGTGGCAGGCCAGGTGGGGCGCTCATGGCCGGGAGCCCCCAGCCCTGAGGAGGTGGCGGCGAGCTGGCAAGCGACGCGCCTGCGGCAGGTAGCCCGCATGCAGATACTCCATTAGCCGGAGGTGAGGGGGATGCTTTATGTCCTCCCCAGCCTGGCCATGGTTAGAAGGGATTGTCATGGCCATTGTCATGTTAAAAGTCAGTTGATTGGAGGGGAGGGGCTCTGGGGTATTCAGGCAGTGGGGGAGGGCTGGGACACCAGGACCAGCTTCCCAGCTTGGCTTGTGGTGCCGTGATGGAGCTCAGGCCATTGCTGTGGGCACATCCCTCCCTGCTCGGGGCTTGGGGGAGGGAAGAGCCTTGTTGTCACCTCAGGGCAAAGGCCTAAGCAGAGCTGTCTGGTGAGCTTGGACAGGGCCAGGCAGACACCCCCCACCCCCTCCAAGTTTAACACTCTTCCTCTTCACCTCCACCTCCTCACCGCTCCCCACCCAAATGCAAAGAATAGAGGGGAACCCAAAGGCCCCCCCCTGCCCTCGGGGCATGCAAAGACTATGCCTGTCTGCATTGCAGATCGCAACCATCATTGCGAACAGATAAGCACTCCACAGCACTCCACCTCCTCACAAGTGAATATGGACTCAGAGCCGGGGGGGGGGGGGCAGCACTCCAGAGAAGTGTCTGTGTTGCAGGGAAAACGGCTCAAGAGAAAGACAAGTTGCTCTTTGAGTATCTTCTCTGGTGACTAGCCTGAGGTTGAGACAGACAGCAGGGCCAGAGTGAAATAACACTTCTCCTTTTCCAAGCTTTTTTCCCCTCAGTCATTTATTACATTTTTCTGGTTCTTAGAAGAAATAATAGCTTACAAAAATTTAGCTTTTTTGCTACGCACCAGGGGAAGGTAGGAATTACCTGGTCAGATTCTAAAGGAATCCAACTGCATAAGATAAACGTTTGAAGCCAGGGTTTACCATCCACTTAGGGAAGGAAGGAGAAAAAAAAAAAGCTGTTTCCTTTAAGGAAATTTGAAGTTTAATGGGAGGCTCTCATAGCCCAGGATTTACAAAACTTGGAAAATCACCTGGGAGAGGTAGAAAAGAAAACATATGACTCAGCAAGCATATTTTTCCCTCCCCACCCTCAGCTAGGAGGAAAAAATGACACAGGCACCTACCTGTATAGAAAAGGAAGGGGAGTAAGTACTAACTCTATTACCCTGTTAAAAAAAAAAATCTTCTGGAGACAGTAGAGACAAGCCTCCCTTCTGTCCATATATCTCCTCCTCCCCAGCTGAGTCATTATAGGAAATGAGCCCCAGCTGGTATCAGCTAGCCCCTTGGCCCACTTTCACCAGTGTACTGTATAAGCTCATAGCTGAAAGGTACCTTTGCAGTGCTGCTTACCTGGAGGGGCCTTGTTAGACCCACCTTTGATTATCCCCTCCCTTCCCCCCCCCCAAAGGTGACTTCATTTCTCAGTTAGAATCCAGACAGGAAGACAACTGGGAATGCAGGGGAAGGGATTATAAGTGGGTAAGATGGATAAAATACAGAGCCAGAGCCTTCACTTGCTTCTTGTCTCCATCCCTGTACTGGTTTGGTAGTGGTGTGTAAGCCTCAGGCCTGTCTACTCCCCCAGGACACTTCCCCTGCAGCCACGGCCTGGACAGCCCCAGCTTCCTCCAGGCTGTTTGCATGCTGTTCTGGGCTTAACGCACACACTAAAAGGGATCCCCTGCCAGATGTAAAAAACATTTGTAGAGTATGGAGGTGATGGCCATTAATCTGCATGGTCTGTACACTGACACGGCCTCCGAGGATACCTGTATGATGCCTATTTTGGTATTGTACAAGCTCATGAAAAATAGCCCATTGTAAAGACGGAGAAAGGGAGCTGCGTTTACAAACAAAAGCACCTGCATTTGATTCACATAGAAGAATGTCTCTTGGCAATGACAACTTAACGGGCTCTGGGCTCTGCACGCATCAGGCAAAATAATAAACACTCTTCTGATAATGTTAATTGACAAAGCCACCTAGCTGGAGACTGTGCCTCCCAACACCAAAAGACTCCACAAAGCATTCTCCCCTATCACACAGACTGCAGAACTGAGTCATCAGAGGTGACATGGTTTGCCTAGGGACACCCTGGGCAAAAGGATTAGCATTTTACAGCCGTAGTAACACTGCCTCCACCACCATATCCCCTCCCCTCACATTTTGCGTGTCCATAGTGGGGGAGTTATGTGGGGAAACGGTTTTGAAACACAGTGGAATTGCTCTTGGTGTATAATTTTGGTACTGATCAGTTTCCATCCCAGAGACAGCCTTGCTTTGCAGTCTGCATGAAAGTGATTGAATGTCCCCTCTATTTTTCCTTTTTTTAAATTTGTCTTTGTCTGCCTTTTAATTTTCTCACCTCACTTTTCTTCCATTCCCTTCCTTTTTATGCTTCACCCTGCTCCCAGTGCTTTTTTTCTTTTCTATATATCCACCTCCGCTGAGCACAATTTGCTCTCCTCTCCCCAACCATGCCTCTAATCAGGTCATCACACATATTTTTTAAAATGTTTTTATGTGAGAAAAAAAGACTTCAGTGAATGTATAAAATCATACCATCTAAAGTCAGAATTTATTTAGGAAAAGAAATCCTATTATTTCCCTCGAATAAATGATACATATAAAGATGTCTTGGGAAGGTAACTCCATAAAACATACAGGCACAGAGGATGCCATGAGAAGTGAGGTGTGGATACTTGAGATGCTCCCCAGGGTGCCGGGTCTGGACTCTCTGCCCTGTGGCACCATCAGCCTGCAAACTGGATATGCTGCCCATGGACGTCTAGAGCTGATGTGCTTTAAAAAATATCCACTGGCAATGATTTGTAGAGCAGATACAAGTATCCACTCATTCTGTTTCTCTTGCAACTATTTTCAGCTGGAATAGCTATCCAGTTCAGATCTAGTCTAGCCCCAAAGCAAATTTAGCTGTTCTTCCCAAGAAGGTCAAATAACACCAATTTGTTTTTCAACCCAAAGATGTGTGTCTCTTTCCCCTCTTACTATGGACTTTGCAGTTCTCAGTTCCTTAAGGGCCTGCTGCTGTGAAGCATTACTCAGGTGAGTAAGCGTATGTTGCCTCATTAAGTGTATGGAAGTGAATGGAATGACTCACTGGGATGAAGCATGTCCTAACGAACCCTTTCCATAGTCCTTCAACAGCAGGGATAAAAGATCAGATTGAAAAGCACCCTTAGCCTCAGCACAGATAAGGCAGGACCACGGCTGGAAGATGTTTTCACCCAGAAAGTTGAGTTAGTGTCAGCAGGATTACCGCCTTCAGAGAGCTGAAGATCCAAACTTGCACTGAAGTGGTATAACCAGATGAGTTTACAGAGGCTGGAGCTGGGAAAGCACTGAGGCCAAATGATACTGTAAATCCAGCTCTGGAGCTTGTACCACTGGGTCAGAAATGCTATGGGTTCCTACCTCAGAACAATGCTAAACTCATTTTAATCAGCAGGGTAACATTGTACTGGTAAGGGCTACCTCAAATTTTACGTAGATTAGGTGCTGTTCTGACCTGCTCAGCTAGCTCAAAAATGGATTATCTGTGTTCTGGTGAATACTGTGACATGTCACAGAGTGTCTCTGTGTCATCCTTCTCAAGTTCATACTGCTCAGAGAGAGCTGGTAGGGTGAGGCTTGGTATTAGTGAACATGGAACCATGGTCTAGGCCCTGTTGCCGCTCAGAGGTTTCCCTGGGAGCCGTCATCCTCTGTCAGAGGTGTGTGTGGTAAGGGAGGGCATGCAGGATTTCTACCTGCCCCTTCTATTCTGTTGAGCTTGTCTGATTTTTCTTCCAAGCAGACATCTTTGATATTTGTCTATATTGAACTCCCTCAGGTTCAAATTAGGAAAACACTGTATTTCTGACCTGCAGCCCTCAGTTCTGACCTGCAGCCCTCAGTACTAGCCCAGCTCTTGGCTCCAGACAGCCTGCCCCCCTGTAGTTTGGTCACAGCTCACAGTCTGGACCTGAGAGGACATGTTTGTGGAAGGAAGGCAGTCAAGAAAGAATAACAAAAATTAGACTCTCATTCATATTAAAATACAGTTTTCCTTTCTCTTGAATCTTTAGGGGAGCAGGTCAGGAAAAGGACAAAGCTTCTCCCTCCCATTAACAACCAAGTCTCTCAATCACCTGAGAATTACAGGATGATGTGGCCCTTTGTTAGCAGTGGAGAGGCAGACTGTGACGGAGGAGTCACTGGCACAAAACTCAGTCCCTTCCTGCACAGGTAAGAAAAGCAGTGTCAAAAAACAGGTGGGCAGGAGGCTAATGAGCCTCAAACCCAGATTTCCAAGGTTTGAT